CGAACCCTGTTGTTTGATGCGTACTGATGAAGAGTCCCGGTAACTAGGCTAACGAAACAGCTGTCCAGTACTCCCTGCAGGTTTTCCAATGGTTCTCTAACTGATGAGTTGAGCTCATGATGAAATCCTTCAACCAATCAGGTTAAATGTCATTTGCACTACCGCATTATCACCTTTTTTAGTTTTCATTTCACTCGTTCTAAGAATAAACCAAAAGTATGAATAGTCGTTCCACTTTAGAAGTGACACTCATCCTAATAGACTAGTCTTGCTTTGAAAACAAATATAGATTACAAAGTGTGTGAATCGCCTGAAGGTTACTAACGTTTTAGAATGCTTTTCTTTAAGAGACTGTCATCTGGTAAACAATAACCTATATATATGTATATACAAGTTGCTATCTTTTGACTGTATTCTTCATGAAGACATGACTAGGCCAATGTATGTGTTGACAATTTTCGTAAATAAATATAAACTAAAATCAGAAAAGTTACACTTATAGACGTTTTCCTTTGGAGTAATTTATGATGATACACAAATGAATGAATGAGTCATAATTTGATTTTCATTATGTTTGGAGGTGAGCCAAAACTCATGTTGGAATGCTGATAATAATAATATGCAAAATTATATGATTCTATCTTAGTGCACTCTCTATCTATGCATACAACACATTTATTTATGCTATAGTAGATAGTTGTGATTTTTGTATGCATGTTTCTCGACTCGTGGAGTATTTGTCATTTGTATATAATATGTGTATATTCACCTACACATGTGACTATAATATTGTCATATTTGTCCAAGCGTGAGATTAACATAGCTGTAATTACCACAGTATATCTTTATGTATATATATATAAATTGTTCTTCTTTCTATTGGTATGCGTGGGTGAATAAACATCAAATCACTTTTCTTAAACGAACTCTCACTCATCAGATAAGTAATATCTATAGTAAAAAATATTGTTCATCTGTGTTGGCGGCGTTTAGAAATGTACAAGATCAGTATGCGCAAGAGACAACGTTGTAGAGACCACAGTAGTTAGTAGATCATGATTAATGTGGAACTTTATGAAGTCTTCTTCGGGGGATTTTTTCACTTTGATGACTTAATGACATTTATATCATAAAATATTTCTAAAATTCTGTTATTTCCCGCCTAACATTGCAAAGTTCTACTGCCAGTCACGAAGAAAGTAAACTTTAAGCACCAAAAAGTAGCGCTGTACCAATCACATGGAAAAGGCGATTTTTACGTATAATATATATGTACGAAAGTAATGAATGAAAAGGCCTGAAACTATTACACAGGATATCTTTCTCTGAAGTGTGACAAAAATGCCTGTCAGTTTTGCATTGGAGTGTCAATAGAGCAATTAAACCACATTCTATGTGTGTATTCATCTAGGTCTTCTAACCCTAACACGAAACTGTCCCTAAACTAATCCTCACGTAACTCAAACCAACCCTAATATCTTTCGTATTGGGTTAACCTAACCTTAAACTGTCCTTAGCCTACACCTTAACTTAATCTTCCCCAAACCAAACCTTAAACTTACCAGATATGCCGCCTAATATCATAACACTTCATCAGGCATATTTTATTCATGATTATAATGTTATCTGTCTGGTTTCACTAATTCGCTCAGTGAGAGTCCGAAGGTCATTGGTGCGATTGCACTTTTTTGGCGCTTAAAGTTTAACTTGGTCATAGCTACTAAGAACTTATAACAAATTTTATATATTTACTCTCTCATAAAAGAGATTTAACAATAGAATCAACTAAAAACAAGAACCAATAAATAATTTATATTGTAATTTAACAATTTAATGCCATCAATATCGTTTGCTTAACGTGTTAATATTGGAATTGTTGAATTCAAATCAACTTTCCTGAGATATCTTATGAAATAATCAGCTATAACAATTTCAGTAGTATAAATGTGTCTTACATGAACGAGATGAACATTGAACACAAGATCTAACTTGTTTTCACTGGATAAGACTCAAAAATAAGTCATTCTGATAATTTTTATGTCTTATATGTATCTGTATAGAATAAAACAATACTATAATTGTGATGTCTACTTTGATATTGCCTAGCGTCCCATCAAAGTAACCATTACACTGCTAAAGGAGATCAGTCGCGAGACCGAGTAGCTCAGTGGTAATGTCTCTGACTGCGGCACTGAGTGCCCCGGGTTTGAATACTGGAAGGGACATGAATTCCTTGAAGATTGCAGATACTCCTTGCTGACTGTTGAGTGTCTAGGTCCGAAGCTTCCTGTCGTTTGCTACCAGCCATCTAATTGAGATTTCCAGATACATTCAGTGTAAGGGAAAGTGACTCTTAAAATCAAGTTTGTCTTCATAAAGCAGTTGCTATTCATTCCTGTAATATCCTCTTACTGTTGTCGATATTTAATAAAAGCATTTAGGGGAATGCTGAAATGTTGTTGCTCATAATTACGAACAGTTTACCAAGTATTGTTACTTATTCTAAAAAACAAACCATTTCTCATCTCAAAGATTATTCAAAAACCAGTAAACCATAACGAATATAAATACTCTTTGAAAACAGAGAAAATCTTTTCGCTCCACATCATCTTTCACTGTGTTTATCACGTTTTTTAACAATTCAAAGGATGTAACCTTTCAGGTGAGGAGTCAAAGAAAGCCCACTAATCCTAAATACGACATAGTGGGGCAGTTCATCGTCTAGTTTCCTTTATATTATAATTAACCTGTTACTTATTCTTAATCATTAAAATACCAAGCTGAATTTTATTAAGCAAAATAATGACTGCCTAGTTGAGTTTCAACATAGAACTATGCACAGAAGTGTAGCAGTTCAGGTTGCCACACTCCATATAGAAAACGAAGGTAGACTAAAGAGAGAAAAAAGCTATTCGTAAGAACTATGATAGACAAAAATTTACGGGAGTACTAACATGGAAAACATGACTGTCAAAGACTTCATGGACTTGTGCTCAGTTTTGGTTTGACTACCCACTAACTCGTTTTTAGTGTGATCCAATGTCGGCTAACATTGCCCGTCGAGGAAGACGATGGCTAGGCGCATGCACACTACATGTCCTAGACATCTCAATCGATATAGCTTCTCTCTTTACCGTACACTATACACTTGACCTCAATATGACTCACCACATTATTATCACCTAGAACGTAAACATCTGTGGTGAAAAAAACACAGCCAGACTAGATCAGAGAATAAGACAACTGACCTGTTGTCAGTCGACTAGTGTGTGCAGGAAAAAAAAAAGTAACACTTGGTTTGATCTACTATATATGTGTAAAAAAAAGGAAAGATTGTGTGCACTTTACATAATCACACACGTATAGGTACAAACAAACAAACAAACAAACAAACGGAGCGAAACAAAACAAAACAAGTACACTGCAAAGCCAGTCTAGACGGAAACAATAGTTTATACTATGTATATATATATAGATAGATAGATAATGTAATATAAATAAATTCTGAAGGCCAGTGTGAGCAATTTCTCATTAAAAAAAAAAAAGAAATAAATAAAAGTAATCATATCAACAGAGAGTAAAAGAAATTAAGGGAAAATATCATGGACTAAAACAGCAAAGAAATAAAGAATTTGTTGGGGGCGGGTTGGGGTGTGGTGTAGGTGGATGGTTGATAGATAACCAACTTCATGAAACCATACAAAGGAGCCTTCAAAAGACAGAGAGAGAGAGAGATTAAAATTACTTTAGTAATGAGCAATTTAAGCAATGCAAACATACACACACTCTCTAAGTAAGGTATTTCATTTGTGCATAGCATCGAAAACAATTGAAGATAAAGTTTTAAAAAAAGGAAAGAAAACTGGAGGAATATTAGTAAAACAACTTTTACATAGCATGGTAATAACTGATTACTCTCTGTGGAAACAATTAAAGTCAGAAATATCCAGATAACAGCATTATACACATAAATGTACATAATTGGTGTGTGTGGGTGGGTGTATGTGTTTGTTTGAGAAAAAGAAATGAAGATAACACACATTAGAAGAAAACCTCTCCATTTTTTATTATTACGTAATATAAGTACAAAATAATAAGTCTAGAATCGATAAAATAAACACAATCATAAAATGACCTTACACCCGACAGTTCAGCTGAATAATCAGCATATTTGAAGGAATAGATGTGATAGGAGATGGAGAAAGGTTGGTGGAGTACGATTTTTCATTAACCGGAAATCAATCAACCTTAATAACTCACGCCACACACACACACACACACATAGACAATTGAGTAGGTCATTGAGAGTACTGTGATTCCAGTAAATTAAAGTAGGGGGGGGGTAGCAATATTTGTACAAGAGGATGGAAGGGGTAGTGTGTCAAACCATAAGTGTAATAATCATAAAAAATAATGTCATTAGTAGGTTGATGACTTGGGGTAAAATAACATTTGGTTAAGATTAAAATAATCAAATAATCAGTAAAATAAACACACCATATATTTCAAAAATGTGAATAATATAAGTCAATTGTGAGGGGGAAATACACTGTACACGGAAATATATGTATATATTATAGGATGTGGTAAAGCAAATCAATAATTTTGTGGAACATTAAAAGAAACACACGCACACACACAAACAAGCAGCTACATTAAGAAAAGAAAACAATAACTGTTCATTACCATAAGGGGGTCATTGATTGAAATTAAAATTACAAATTAAGAAGTGAATGATTGTGAGGTAGAAATAATAATAAGCATTACAAAAAAAAGGAGTTTGAGATTCTGCAGGCACACAGCTCAATTTTCATAATGAACAATTCGAAATAAAGAAACATATGAGATCGTAGTGAACAATAACGGATAGAAGTATATATATATATATATATATATATATATATATATATATAATTCATCACAATGAGTGTTGTGTAGAATGAGCATATTGAGGAGGAGTAAAACAATTGAGCGTCAACCGTTTAAATACACTTCAAGCGTCATACATGATCCATACCGACATTGCCTCCTATAAACCATTCCCGAACTGATAAAGGAGAATTTAGCTCTGAAGCTGATGAGGATAGCAGACTACTTAAAGTGTCTGTTACATCTGAATTAGGATTATTTGTAACATTTGTATTTGAAGAATAAGATGCAACACCTGAACATGATGTGTTATTCGAATGAGTTACAGGAGTTGAATAGACTTGAGGTGTTGTTTTAGTTGAATTAAGGAGTGCAGGCCAAGGGAACAAATTCATAGAATCTGATTGGGGAGTGAGATAAACCGAAGGATAAACATTCATAGTTGCATTTTCACTAGTTGGTCGAAGTTGTTTATCAAGGGAATTAGATTTAGTTGATGAATAAGATGACGATGAATCAGATGATGTTGTACTTGAACTACCTGAACGCCAATAATGTAAATGAACAGGAAGTTCTGTATTTTGGATTTGGGAATGTGAGGATGACACTGCAGTTGAACAAGGAGATCTATTACTAGCAGCTGTTGAAACAAGCTTAGTAACAGACATAACAGATGCTGCATGACTTGCAGTTGAACATGTACGTAAATTGTTAGCATTTACAGCCAAAATAAGTTGTTTTCCTTCATTTGAAGATAAAGAGTCGGAGCGTGAGTAGTAACCAGAACTTGAGTCAGATCCATTGGAATGGAGGCGTGGCAAAATTTCTGGACATGATGTTTGCTGACATGAAAGCCGATTATCTGTAGGATGAGTTTGAACGATAAAACCTGACCGTTCATTAACCTTTGTATTAGGAATAGACCACAGTGTTTCATGCTTAGGTGACACACCACATACGGAAGATTGAGGATATCCATCACCAGTATGAATGGTTTGAAAGGCGTAGTCATTACTTGATCTTACCGACTCATTGGTATCATTTGGGATATGTAAATTAATGCCAGATTGGTTTTTCATATCGCATGAATTAAAACTGGAATTCATAGCAATATGTGAATGATTCACATTATCAGTTGATTTGTTTCTATGGTTATTACAAATACCGGAAGATGAAGGGTTCGTAAAGGAACAAGAATACGCAAAACCAGATGCCATTTGATTCGACAAGTTTGAGTTTTGCGTTCCAGAAGAATTTTGTGAATCAGATGCGTTAGTCACATTGGAATTATTATCGGAACTTGATTCACGCGTAGCCAATGCATTTTCTAAAGCATCTAAAGCTATTTGAAAAGCTGGTGGAATTTGAGTGCCGGCTTGTGGTCTATGTGCTTGCATCCACGGGTGCTGCAGAATTTCCAATAATGATGGACGTTTAGACGGATCCATATTTAAACAGCTTCTGCAAAATTTAAAAATAAGAGTATACAAGATTTATTAATTAGGAATTAACTGATTCAAATGAATTACAAGATATATATATATATATATATATATATATATATATATATATATATATATGTACATATATAATGAAACTGGGGGGAGATGAAGAATAAACAGTATTTTCAAGAATTAGTTTGTAAAGATTCTATTTGTTTCAGATTAGACCACGGATTGATATCAATTAGAGAACCACTGAAAACCAGCAGGGAGTACTGGATAGCTGGTTCGTCACAGTTTGGGACTCTTCAACAGTGCGCACCCATCAATGGGTTTCGGACCAAGGACCTTCCAATCACCAGGCGAGCTCGTATACCATTCAGCCATTGGGACCCAATTCAATGGCCCATCAATTTTAACTTCTACCAATTCGTGATTTTAGCACGATCACCACCAATACTCAATGGTTCTCTAACTGATATCAATCCGTGGGATAACCTGAAACAGAATCCCAAAGCTGAAGTCGAAATATGAAACCTACCAGTGTCCAAGTCCTAAACATATCTTAAGGAAAGCTCTACATCACTTCATAAAATTGCAAGACTAACTTTTTAATTCATGCTCGCCAACCACGCAAGTGTTTCGGGGTTCGACCCCGGGCAGACACACTCCTTTACCTGACTAAGACAGTAATAAAACTGGTGGTAAAGAGGGAAGGTTGGGCATGAGGCTAGCAACCACATCCCGTAAAAATAAATACCAATGCTTCGGAAACTTCAAAGCTCTAGCTGGAAGTCCTATGTTCCACTGGGAACGTAAAGGAACAAAAAAAAACTTTTTAATTCACGAATGTCTTCATCGGTTATGACTTTTCACAAATACATTGGCCAGGCTGTCCATAACTTATTTTTACCAGTCAAAGTTAATGCAGAATTTCAAGCTGAAGTCTCAGAATACTGTAGTTCGTATAGGTGAAAGTTTGGATTAAGGTATTCTTCTACAGTATAAAGTCTTCGTTCCTTGAACCTCTTCGTGTACAGAGTCAAATATAAGTATATGAACCAAACACATTTAGAGGATTAATAAGATAAAACTCAAATCCATGAACGACTAGCACAAGACTGAATATCAAAACTGATAACCTTCAGTTCTTAGTGACTGAACTGTACATGTAAAAACACTTCACATCCCTGAGATCTAACGTCACAATGTGTTGATATTAGAGTACATCAAGTTTTGACTAAACATGTAAACACAAATAAGTGAAAAATAACTACAGCCTGTATATAACAAAAAACAAAAGCACAAAATAAAATGAAGTAAAAGTTCAAGATGCATTTTCGATGAAATGGAGACATTCAGCATGCTGATAATCCTATTTACATCAAACGAATTGCCCACTGGTTTTTGTTCTGATTTCAGATTCTTCAACAATGTGCACCCTGTCACTGTATCCAGTGAAAAACATGTTATCCTTCAACCAGTATGTAAGAACTCATTGGCTAGCGATTTCCAACTTCTACAGAAATCAATCAATGTCGAAATAAAGCAAACCACTAAGATTTAACTTCAGTCCATTTTTTTCTTTCACGTTTCCCAGTGGAACATAGGGCTTCAAGCTAGTAGCTTGAATTTTCTGCAGCAGTGTTTATTTTACAGGATGGGGTTGCTAACTTCATGCCTAACCTTTCCTCTTCACCAGCATTATATCTGGCTTAGCGAGGTAAAGGAGTGAGTCGGCCGGGGGTCGAATCCCGGGCCATGTGCATAGTTGGCGAGCGTCCTAACCGCTATACTACCGACGCACTTCAATCCATTGCTCATAAAGAACTAATATCAAGACTAATCTCGAGGAGTTCTACTGGGAGTTTCTGACCAATGGAATTTACCAAGTTAGAAATGAGGTCGTAATACTCATCAGTGACATTAAATGATGATTGTAGATCACACATCATCGATTTATCGTATCCCCCCCCCCCACATTAAGAAGATAGTTTGTCAAAGAAATATTATCAATATATATATGATGAAGCATCATCAATCCGAAACGATTCAACTTGCCAATTAAATCACAATTTCACTTTTATTTTGACGTCATACATACATCATAATTAAGTGAAATATGCAAACTAGTTTACAATAATAAAATAAAATAAAAATGTGAATAAACTTTGAATTTCACTCACGCAATCAGATGTTTTGCTGCTTCACTTAAATTGTCTCTACGATAACGTAACTTTCCTCCAATAATACCCTTATCATTTACGAAAGGAATATCACCGCATAACATATCATAAAGTAGTACACCCAATGACCATACTTCTGCCTGTTTCCCGTGATATCGACTATTCAAAATCCATTCAGGTGGACTATAAACACGAGTGCCTAATAAAGAAAGAAAACAAAAAAACACTCAATTAAAACGGATAAAAGATTGTTAAACAAGCAGAAGAGAACAGTTTTCAAAAATAGCATGCACAAACTATAAGGTATATTTGTTTCACAAACCCAGGACAACAATATCACACAGTAGCTATACAAAATTGACAAGACAATAAGAGAAATCCAATTGATGCTGAGAACTAATCAGATTAACTTCTTTAACACAAATAAACCTATTATGTTTCCACTTTCTATTTTCGCCTTTTCTTCCTCTGTGCTTTTAAGAAACACGATGGATTAAAGTATGCTATGCTATGGTTAATATTTACTGTTCCTTTTGTGAATAATCCGGTAACTCTGATGCTCTTTGAGCTTTTGATCACCTTGTCGAAACTCTACAAGTTAGTTTGCGCATCACTCCCACCCCCCCACCCACCCCGACAAAGTCGGTATATTATGGGCATCAAGAGATGAGCTGACGCTATTTCACGGAGCAGTCTATGGTATGGCATAGAATTTAATGCGGCTATGCATATGATTTAGTGGGTGTTTTTATGCACATATCAGTGAATCAATGTCTGACGCCCCAATATATATATATATATATATAGGGAGAGAGAGATATTAGTACATAAACCAGGTTTGTAACCTGGATCCTGCTAACCAGAAGTTAAGCACCGACACCAGTGAATCATATCTCCACCACTATAACGTTGACTAGATCCAACTGTGTTAGATGGTCGGAGGCAAGGCGCAGGAAAGACTAGGTACACCCTAGTGACCGATCAGCTTATCCATTACAATCCTACAAGACTTCACACAGAAACAGGTTTGGCTGATTTACTGAGAGGAGCCCATACCGTTTACTCCCCCCCTCCTAACTCCCAAAATCATTGTTTTCCATTCTAGCACTTTCACTTAGTAATACCACACAAAAAACTTCACACATCATCTATATAGCTGATGATCAGTAATACTACAACCAAATTATGACACAATTAGTCTAAAAGTATTGCTTTAAAACACGTAATTTTAAGAAATAATTGAAAGGTCATAGCTTACCATCAAAATCTGTATACAAACGTGATTCAAGAAATGCACCAGAACCAAAATCAATAAGTACTAATTCATTTGTTGTCCGATTAATCAAAATATTTTCATCTTTTATATCACGATGTAATACACCAACTTTATGACAAGATAATAATATACCAGTGAGTTGATGAAAATAAAATGCAGCTTCACTCTCGGACAGTGTACCTCGTTCACCAATATAATCAAACATATCACATGTTGTATTAGATACTTGATCCATAACAATTGCCCAAGATTGACCAAAATTAAAAGCATCCAACAGACGAACTATTCCAGGTAAACCTTGACACATAACAAGAAGTACAACTTCAATTGGCATTAATTGATTGTCCAACTAGGTAAATATAAGAGACAGAGAGAGAGAGCGCGCGTGGGGGAGGGGGGAGAGAGAAAAGCAGACAATATATATTAATAATTATATGAAAAATAATAATAACAGTAATAATGATAAACTAAACAAATTGTATTCATGTTACTGAGTGGCATTTGTTTAACTTTTATACCACACAGTAGTAAAATTAATTGTAGTTGAGATACGGACAACCTGACTAAAAGACACATTGTCTTATGTCCTAGCACATGGACACGAGCAGTACACACGCATATGAACAGACAATAAGTTAACTATCAGTCACAGTAATGACTGGTAAGGGTGGGAGAACAGGAGAAAACAATCAACCAACCAGGTAGCTAACACGGCATATGTGCATACAGATAAGGTAACAAAGAATTTTAGTATATATATATATATGTATATATTTAGAGAGATTGAGACAAAATGATACTGTACCACTTCTGAGCAGTCTGGATTTTGGTCAACCTACTTCGAATCAGACAAAGCCTATGATAGAAAAAAAACACTTAGTAAGACATATCTAGCGAGAAATATGGGAATAGAAGCACAAAACACATTGTTGTACACTGACTGTACCACTTAATTATAAAGTTAAACACTGAGCGAAAAAAGAAAAAAATAATGCATGAACTAAACCTTCTCTGTATTGTGATCAGAACTGTTAATTGACTAAGCTACAGAAAAAGTATGCCACTAAGAATTGCTGGCAAAATGATCAAATAAATGGGATGATAACATTGAATAGAAACTGTGACTCCAAAATCACGTGACTGTGTACTTGAAGCTGACAATGAGTCAGTCACGTGTTAAGAAAGGACTAACAATAATGTCTAGATGCCCACATCTTAGTAGTTGAAGTGGAATTCGAAATTCAAATTCATTGGTTGAAAAGTAAATTAACCAGACCAACGAATAACAACTCCACAGGGATTGTCATCAAAAAAAAACAACAGCTGTTTGAAAATGCACCAAAATGTTTCAAGGTTGAAGATATTTATAGCTAATGGGGACATCCACAAACGCAAAAACTAGGTTGACAAAACTTACTTCTTGTCAACTTTCTCTTAACATTTAAAACAGAATACAAAGTTCACTTAACTAAATACTCTTCAATGGAGAAGAGATATACAAACAAACAGATTAATTTAGACTACAATATGGATGATGGATAAAGGTGTTGCCAAAGGCATCGCTGACACTTCATGCAATCACTCGGTAGGGAACTTTTGTTAGATGTAGAATGGAAATAACGAATGTATTATTCATTTATTGACAAAATCTTAGTCGTGTTGATAGGTACTGCACCACAATGCACTCCTAAGTTAATAGAATTTACTGGATCTTAGAAATCAGTGGTTGGGGTAATACTGGCTTGCATACATTTACTTCGCATCTTCCAAATCTTATACATATTTCCGATATTCATTAACTATTTGCCATTCACTTCATTAGGATGTAGAACTTCTGCTTCTTTTATTAGCAATTAGTTGGCATTGCTTTGTGATACTACAACATTCACACTGAGAAGGATCCACGAATCATATGCGCAACTTAAGGCAACAATATGTGCAATTCACGAAGAAGTTTCGAATAAAAATGCAACATTTTAGTATAATTCTTCATCCCAACTATGTAATTTTGACTCTCACTACTAAACTATGATAAACTGTAGACATTATTAATGAATCAGACTACGAATTTGCTTGATCCATGAAACTCACATTAACCACTTCCGATCTCATAACTCCCAAACCAGCATTGGTGATATGGTATAACTTAGCAAACAATCATTCCATAACATAACATAACTCTCATGATAACGAGAAAGCTAACGTTGAGAGGAGGAGGAGGATTTGATGTCCTCCTTCACATCTTATCAACAAAGAAACTTGATATGGGTTTGTGTCATAGACTATAAACTACATAATGTGTGAATAAACAGCACCAATTTCCTATACCAACTGACACACTTGAAGGGAGTTTGACTGCATGACTCCACAGCTGATAGCCAAACATCTAAACCAGAGAATCAATTCTACGTTTCAGATTCCAAAGTGATCGAATAAAAAGAAATTCTACGTTACGAAGACGTAACAAACTGACTTGAAGACTTACTGAAGTTAGCCTATTATCATAGATGTCACACACATTCCGAGCTTTGATGAACATCTATCAATGAAATTTTAAGTGGCGTCACATTAAAAATACCATTTATATCTCACTAAAACAATGAGGCGAATGCTGAACCTTCGAGGAATCAAGTAATGATCCCATCAAACAACAGTAGAGAGAAAATATTTGAAGATTGTCGAAATACGCCTTGCTGATCAGCTAAGGCACTCTACTTTCATCCATTGGGCTTTGGGTTCGAATCTGGCTTCATCTACTTTAGTTTTGGCAACTAGGTAATATCATCAGATCCTATACAATTAATGTGGTTCATAACCTTGAACATGGAAGATCTGTTCCAGGAGATAAGTTCAGATGGAGTAATTAACTTCCATCTCCACACTTTTTCTCAATAATACTTTTAAGTTACTTTTACTGATAGGGAAGCGTCAGAATTACTATAAAAATGCCAATTATAGAAGATTTTATGCTGATATATCTGCATGTATGAGCTAATTTACTGAACACTAAGCTGTTAACAATTACTGCAGTAAATCCTGAGTTGTACCAATACACTACGAATGTTTCATGTAAGAAATCAGTGAAAGGTGTACACTCGCCACACCGGTTTTTATTTCATCCTGTACTGATCCACATAATTCTGTGTAAGCAGCTTCAAAGTGAATGTAAAATTACATGTATTTCTCAGGTGATTTGATTACTGTTGAAAGAAAACTAATTGGGTGTGACTGGCTTTAATCAACTCTTAAAAAAAAAGCTATACGCCTATTTAAAACATAGCAATCAAAATCAGAGTGAATCGATATGTACATTCTAACACATCACATCAATAAATTAGCTATTGACTTTACTACTTATAAATCTGGACAATAAAAACAAGACTTTAGAACATACACATACACAAAAAGCTAAATTAATCTAGTATAAAGTTGTAAGAATAAGATAAAAGATTCAAAGAATATTTACTCACCAAACACCAGCAAGGAACTTTGTCTGAGCGAACTTCTTTAACTACAACTTCTTTATTATCAGACGTACGCCTAGCACGATGGACATGGCCAAAACCCCCAGATCCAAAGCGTTCACCAAGTGTATAACGCCTCAGAAATTCGTAATAACCTTCATAAACCACAACCTCTATATAATAGAAATAAAGTTAAAAATATATGAGTTGATCTATGAAAAGATAGTAAGTTTAATACTCTAAGCTAGTAGGAATGATTTTGAATACAACTGAGACCAGGCTAATACAATGAATATTTAACTCTGTGGTGTCAATGATTCAGTGGTAGAATGATCACCTGCCAAACCCAAGCTCCGGGTTCGATTCCCACCCGATGCACTCAACTGGTTTACTAGCAGATAGTAAGCCCGGAAAACAGGTAAGCTTGAGTGTGAAGTTAGCAATCTTATCCCATGCAGACAACACCATCGCTAATGAAACATCAAAACAAAACTCTATATTCCACTCGGAACTCAAGGAATAGGAAGAATAGTTCGACCAATGAACTGTAGACGGAAAACCTAAAGTATCCCCGATGTCTTCATGTGTGACAGTACAGCTAATTGGAGAAATACAAACCTATACAAGCATATAAAAATGACACGAATACTTCTTCTAATAATGAAACAATCAAAAAATGTACCTAACCACTGGGAGAAACTACAAGGATGTACTAAAATATGAATAATGACAAGTATTATGATATTTCTTAAATCATAGACAGAATTATTAATAGCTACGTGAAAAACAGTTATGACGTAGATTATGTACCCTGGAGACTATCTGTTAATCACTGTACTAAACAAAACGCACGGGTTGATTTATTTACCTATTGCACTATACGGACAGTTTTCCTTAAAGCTTAGTTTCATTCACAAACAAGTTGGGAGATAAATTTCATCGTGTTTAACCAGTGCCTTTGCATAATCAATTCACTTAGAAAATGTACAACATATATAATACGGGTGAAATAAGTAGAGAAACACAGCAACACTAAACAAAAAGTTTCGTAAACACTTTAACTGGTAGCAAGTAAACATATACAGAAATGAGTATCAAAAATAATAATGATTTACTTACGTAATCCTAAGTCCTGTGAACTCCTCCTTACAAGCCGACCGTTTACATAAGGGTTATTTGGTTGTTGTACAGTTGTATGAGCCATTAGGTATGTAGTCCGAAATTTAGTTAAGTTCCCGTTAAGCAGTAATAACTGCGTAGACAGTCCACATAACAAATAATATGATGTGTAAAATAACTCGGTTTTATTAGATTTCGGTTTTTTAACACAACTGTGAAGTCAATCAACTGATAAATCAACAACAGTCGTAGAACCTAGATGCTTGTTATCACAATTCAGTATGAACTGGAGCTTCACCGTTGGCGTAATACGTTTGCTAGGTTAGACAAAACGATTCACTCAATGACCAATGAAAAACTATAATATGATTATTAATGATATTATTGGCTAATATTTGTATTGCCTTGACCTGTCTCTGCCTAAATGTGAATTCGACCAATAAAAACTCAGAATGACACCTATTGGACCAATGACTGAATGAAACATTTACTATAATAACGCCCACCACTTTTTTCATTTTGCTTACACCCACATTGTCCTTAGAAGATTTATTCTGAGGTCAGCTATTCAACCAATTCTCTGATCACTTGATTTCCATTTCACGTGTTTTCCTGTAGGTGTACCAAAGATATCTTTTGCTGACATAATTTTCGGACATCCCAAGACATCGATTTAAGAAAGGAATTTGGGTACTATAGTAGTGTATAATTACATAATAGAATAAATATATTTGATGTAAACCAGTAATACTTTTGTATTACTGTTAATGAATTAATGCAGCTTAAAATATTTACATTATTTAGATAGAGCCTTCAGACGTTCGTAAACACTTCACTTACGCATATAACAGAAAATTAGCATGTATCATTTTGATGAAAATGCTTACTTTTTATAGGCTGGGTTAAGTAAAAGCATTAAAGCTACTTAATGCCTATCATGCGGATATCCAGAAATAGAACTGATTCCCATTATTGAACACTTTTCCAATAAATTACAGTATTCGATATAGTCGAAAACATTTAGTTTAGGGATTGGTTACTGGCTTTTGTGCTAAATATGCTTAATAAAAGTAAACGAAGTGGCTTCGTCCTCTTTTAGTATAATTATAAAACTACACTATGCAGTTATTGGAACACCTACTTACTTGAAAAAACACTGACTTTTAAGGCTTTAGCTCCGAGGGCTTATACAGCAGGAAATCAAAGCATTCATTAGTCTGAAGCAGTAAGAAAAATAGGTATGACGAATATTTATTTGTATTTCAATACAAATATTCAAATTTGTTTGTGTTATCTGAGGTAGGTGGTTAAATTGCGAAGCCTTCATTGTCTTCTTAGACAACATCTTCAGCGCAAACTTCAACGTGAAATAAATATTCCAAGAAATATTCTCAAGTGGTGGTATCCAAAGATATACATTTTCGAAATATTACGGTTGTGCATATAACGGAAAATAAGTATTTACGCGATGAAATGCAATGGATTCGGAATTCTAGAATATTCTGAAAACCAATTATGTGGCATCGCTAAACACTGTGTTGGGTGCAGCTGGTATTTCGCTGCAACTGGCCTGAATTTTTACAAGTACATTTAAAACAGTAGTACACTAGCAAGTCTATCTCAGTCTGATTCGCATATGAGCCTTTCTGCCTAGAAAAGTCGATAGGATTACTAGTTCTCACATCTAAATACCCACGAAACAAACAATGAATCCGTTACATCTTGCACCCTGTGTTTTTATTGATTTTGTTTAAATTCAATAAAAAGCATTCGTGTATGATATTTTAAATGGTTCAATGATAGAATAATCACCAGTCATATGGAAGTTAAGGGTTCGATTTTCGGCCAACACATTTTTCAGTAGTTAACTTGGAAATTCTACTAACAAAATTATTGTAGATGACTGTCAGATAAAAAATAATAATAATAAATGTGTAACAGATGAATTAATTAATCAGAATTACTTAATTTGAACTGAAAGAATAATAATGTCATGGAGTTTTTAGTTGATTTTGAATATCCCATGGTTACATCATCAACTTTCAGTGCATACACGGAATGCTCCTGCTGTCATCTACTTTAAAACTCATGAGCCATTGGATCGGGTCACAATGGCTGAATGATTTATGAGCTTTGCCTTGTAACTGGTAGGTTGTGGGTTCGAACACCTATGGGTTAGCACTGTGAAGAGTCCTGAACTTGGACGAAACAGTCGTCCAATATTTCCTGGTTTTCCAATGCTTCTCTTACTGATGTCAACTCGTAAATGAACCTGTAACTAAACTGAAATGACAGAGAAACATGATAAAAATGACTGTGTGAATATTTTGTCATCAAAAAATTGTCATTGCATAAAACAATGAACATATCAAAATAAGAAGTGGTTGCTAGCATCCTAAAATACATTAATTTTTACAGGATTTCATCATGAGCTGACATTGGTTAGAGAACCATTGGAAAACCTGGGAGTACTGGACAGCTGTTTCGTCCTAGTTTGGGACTCTTCATCAGTACGCACCCACGCTGCGGGGTTCGAACCCAGGACCTTCTGGTTACAAGGCGAGCTCGTTTTCCAATGGTTCTCTAACCAATGTCAGCTCATGATGAAATCCTGTAACCAATCAACCAAATCCCTACAAACCAATACTTGAACATTAATTTTTAATTCATTACGTTAACAATCCATAATTTCGTGAGTTAAACTCAAAGTTTTATGCCTTAAAACACGAATATGAATTTATTGAAGCTTCTTCAAATTAAAAGTATCACAAACAAATTAGCTGTCAATTATTTGTCATAAAAAGTTTAACTTGCCCAAATAAATTTTTAAACTCTACCTTTATTTATAGTAACTTTTTCCATTGTTCATATAACCAGTATAACTTCGTAGATTGATAACTAAAATATATTTAAAATAACAAAAGAGTTCAAGGTCAAAATTATATAATATATATTTATATACGTCATGTTATAGAGCGTCTACGTAGAATTATCAAGGCAGAAAATGTATGATATACTCATATTATACAGGAGTCAAAGTGATGTTATCGTCAACATAAGGCAAATTTGTTTACATCACTAAGGTCATATATTGATATCATCAAACAATTCTCTTATTTTGCATATATATATATATATATATATATAGAATGTTTCTAAATAGGCTGATAACTGTCAGATTATTTAAATGATATCAAGACATTAATACTATTATGATAATCACTTAGCCTTGTTAGTATGTTTCTGAGTATTCATTCCTTTGGGTTTTAAGTTGCAGTTTTCTGACTAACGGATATATCTACTGCTATTATTGTTTTGTTTTTTTCAAGAGTTGGTTTGTAAGGATTAGATTTGTTTTTCGGGTTTGACCACGGATTGATATCAGTTAGAGAACCATTGAAAACCAGCAGGGAGTATTGGACAGGTGTTTCGTCAGACTAGTTTGGGACTCTTCCGTAGTACTTACCCACGGTCAGGGTTCGAACCCAGGACCTTCTGGTTACAAGGCAAGCTGGCTCGCATACCATTCAGCCACTGGGACCCGATTCAATGGCCAGCTTATGAATTCTAACTTCTACCAGGTCGTGATTTAGCGCGACCACCACCACTCACTTCCAATTGTACTTACCAATTCAGCCGCGCTTGCGGAGCGAGTTATATTAGCTGTTGCTCTAGGAACTTGATTTTTCCTCCTCGCCCGGGAACATCTACCAGGGTGGTTAAATAAAGGTGTAGTGAGAAGCATCAACAGCTCGATATTAGAACACATGGTCCAAACCGGCAACAAAGCTAATATTGAAAAGTCCTTCTTTATCATCTAAGGGGTACCAAATAAATTGCCAAGTCATTGAGGTACCGTATACTCCAAACAGAAGAAGCTACCGCGATTCGCCTTAAACAAGCGTGTGTGTGTGCAGAAAAAGCAAGTCCAGCCAGTCACTACTACCTACTGCCCTGGCCTTCACTGGAGACTAAAAATTCATGAATCTGTATTATCATTTTCCCTAATTTTTCTGATATTCAGTGCATTGTTATGTTGATGCTAGTTGTTTAGACACAGGTCGTGAAGAACGGGTATCTTAATAATGTATTGTGCAGATCCTTCTCAAAAATAGACTTAAACACCACGTCAGTCTGCAGTAAAGTAACACTTTCAGCCTCCAGCATCTTTCCTAAATATAGTTTCATCAACTTTAAAAGGAGTTGTCGAGGTTAAAAACCTTTTTGCGCTTGAACTTTTGCAGTTCCTTCCATACTTCCACCTAGTTGGGTCAAGCGTTGTTGACCGATCACGAAACGCTGTAATTAAGAATATTCAACACGGTGTCTTCATGCTAACTGAGCTATTTGTCAAAATTCTCTATCTGTTTCACAGGCCTCCTCTCTGTCATTGTATCTCTTACTATTGATTGTTCTTTTGGGTTAGAACATCTACCGAGTGTTGTTGCTTGCAGCTGTTGCTTTTATCACTCACATACACACTCACAAGCACTTTCTAACTAAACCAGACTCCAATATAACAGCGCCCTGTATCAGATTATGTGAAACACTAACAGACGGCAAGGTCATTCGAAATATTTCAATGGATTATTTTGATCGGGCCTTTTCGATGCAGCAGGCACTGATGGAGAGAGATTATCAAGGATTCTTTCCTAAGCTACCTGTTGTCAGACTGGCATCAATGTGTGAACCACATAGGTAACAAGTTTGAATTTGACAAGTTCTGTAAGGATATTTGTATTAGATGCTGTACTGAAGGCTTTTTTTGGAGATTGCATTAGTTTTTAAATAGTTCAAATTTACAATTAGATATAGGTGATTAGAGTTTTGCTTAAATTTAAAGCGGCTATCATATGTATGTGTACATACTACATAATAATCAGTTCAAATTTAGTCAGTCTGACTTTAAGTATAGTGGATAAGTGACTAGAAACAAGCGATCAATTATTAGCGGGACAGTTTTTCTGAATTAACTTTTATGATGCTGTCATGTGTGTTTTATTTAGATATATGCATATACACCGAGGGTGATACATGTTAGTTAATTTCTAAACAGATACCTAAAGGACAACGGGATGCCAAACAGATGTCTTCAGGTTACCAAGCAGTGGCTATACCAACTGACCTACACGATAAGAAGGTAAAAATATACTTATCAAGCTGGCATCATGATGAACACACGGATAATTAACAGAGCTATTGGTGGAAACCCACTGCGAGATATCTTCTCGACCACTGAGTGTCACACCTTAGTCCGTAACTCGAAGGTTGCCTATTCGATTTATGTGTTCCGACTAAAATTATCCCGCTTATACCTACTTTTATTCATTTTCACTTCTTATGTAGATATACAAACGTTAAAACTTTCTATGTAAAATGACCGTTTAGAATGGTCCATCTTATTATGATTTTCTTATTGCC